AGTATCAAAGATAACAGCATCTAGCTCTTTGTTGTGTTGGGCCTTAAGGCTCCTTGTCATCCAAGACAGTGCTGTGCACACAGATTCAATAATTGATTCAATCAAGTCATCAGGGTAGTCAGTGCTGCAGCAATATCAGGTTATAGCAGCCCAGCAATCTTCTTCTGTACATAAAATGGCTCTGTGCTCGGTGTTTTCTTTCCTCTTCCTCCAGGTCCACGATGAGACAGAGTTTGTGGAGAGACTCGGCTGTGCGGACGTCGCAGGTGTCAAGGTCCTCTCCATCTTTGGCAACACTGGGGATGGCAAATCACACACCCTCAACCACATTTTGTTTGGTGGTGAGAGTGTGTTCTACACCTCCAAGTCCCCCAGCTCCTGTACAGTGGGAGTGTGGGCCGCTTACAACCCCTCTCTTAGTCTGGTCGCCCTGGATACAGAGGGCCTCCTGGGAGCCGCCGCCAATCAGAACCAGAGAATGCGGCTGCTGCTGAAGGTAATATTAGTGGTCGCTGGTTTGTTTTGTTGGAATTATCGTGTTCATGTGGACAGTGAAAAATACTGTGCTGCTTAGCTTTGGTTCTGGATATGGATTTTGTACTTTGAGGCAAGCTCAGGGTTTCTACTTTGCAGTTCTTTTTAAGTCCCTTTTAAGTCTATTATGGGTCCTGAAGGTGTTGTAGCACCACCAGAGGAGCACACAAGTGAAAGAGGTATCCACACTTTAAATACTACCAGAGAAAGATTCAGTACATCCCAGTATAAGAGTAAACTCTGATACGATATAGTCAGATGTCAAAGGCAGTGTGCCAGAAATACCAGGATGTCCAACTACATCAGGTTCTATTTTGCAGCAAACAAGCCAGCGTGCTTTTCTGACCATTCAGACCCACAATGCTGTGCACGGCATAATATCCATCACATATGTCACGTTGTCTCGCGCGAGAATAAACAAGCTTCGGCACCGAGAGAGCACAGAGAGATGACAGCTCATTTCACACTACAGACTGCAGGAGACAAGTGAGCAAGATGGTCGAAGCTTAAGACGTAATAATATGACAAATTAGTGTGTCTCACTTGTAAACTGTATGCAGCAGGACATACTTTGTAAGGACAGCTGGAGTATCTACTGAAAGTAAAAAGGAAGTGATTTGGCATGCAGCCCTGATTTTAAGCGCAGACAGGTACATAAGACAACTTACCTGTAAATATGGCGTACCAGTAAAAGAGAGGACGTGTGTGGAGAACGGATGGGAGTATTACTTTGTGCTTAGCTAAAAATTATAAAGTGTTCCTCATCACTTACTGCTGCTGTATTTGTTCTACATGTTATGTGTGTTGAAGAAATTTTGCTCATAGTCCTCATGTGAAATTTGCTGTAGTGGGTGTTTATTAGTATTCCGGTATACGGTGGGCTCACCAACACAGAGCATGAGTCTGTGAAGGTGGACCGACCCTGAACATCTGCAGAGTCACACATTTATAGGGTAAGTCAGAGGGTAGGGGGGGCCTGTATGTAAATACAGAGGTGAATAGAGGTAAATTAACATACAGTTGCTAATCAAGTGACCGGAGGTAAGGGGACAATGAACAACAGGGGGTGGAATCGGGTGCCTGTGACAGGAGGTGGGAAAACACATGACAAAAGGTGATGGGAAAACACGTGGCAACAGGGAACGAATTCAGGGGTCCTTGACCATCAAAATAAAAGAAAATGGCTTTCTTCATCATGTGTTTAGACTTAGCTAGATGTGGCACCATGTTTTCCACGTCCAGCTTTCATAACGCTCGCATGGTAATCTCATGAGCAAAGCGTTGTGAAGCAACGTGTTCCTTAGTGTTGTGGTTTTCAATGCGTCCTGTTGCCTTGATGAAAGCCTCTCTTATTGTCATGTACATTTTCTCTCCTTTTCTCCAGGTGTTGGCAGTGTCTGATATCGTTGTCTATCGTACACGAGCGGAGCGACTCCACAATGACATGTTTCACTTCCTGAGTAGTGCCTCAGGGGCCTACCTGAGGCACTTCACCCCAGAGCTGAGGGCCCTGTCGAGTCGATGTGGTCTAGATGTGCCCCTCTCATCTCTTGGGCCTGCTGTCATTGTCTTCCAGGAAACGACACACACCCAACTGCTGGGCCAAGGTAGGGGGAAGGGAACTACTGCAGGAATACAAAACCACATCTAAGTTTTTTCAATCCTAATTTTTTCAGAATTTACTTTTAGGAGGGTTGAATGATTTGTTCTGTGGTTCCAGTTTTCCAATTAAAATATTTATGTCCTTACTTCCTGTTGTAGACTCAAAGGTGCCCGGTCATGCTGACACGCTGCTCCAGAAGCGATTTCATGACCTGAATTTGGGAACAGAGGCCTTCAGTTCGGTACAGTATGTCGGCACTCAGACCATCACACCTCCCACAGAGTACAGCAGACTGCTGGAGGCTGTCGAGCAGCAAGTGAAGAACACTCACACTCGCTCCCCCCGCCAGCCTGGGATAGTGTTTCACGCTCTGGAAGTAAGTGGTTAAGTAGAGGTTTAGAGAGCTTTAACAGAAAATGAAGAAAGAGCAAATCTTTGTCTCTCCTCTGCTTCCTTTCAGCTCTTATCTGGTTTATTGTCCACTTTTCCTCCTTCTAATACCTTCCTTTTTATGTTTAGGCTCTGAGTGAGCGTTTCTGTGGAGAACTATCAGAGGACAAGATGACACTGTACTCCTTCTTCCCTGACGAGTACTTCACCTGCTCTGCCGTCTGCCTCAGCTGCAAGTAAGTCATTATCATCAGCTACACTGCAGAGCTCCAGTTGCACGTGCTGGAGTTTTGACCTGGGTTAAACCTAAATCCCAAAAGTAAGTAGTTCCTGAGGCATTACAGGGTTAACTCTACTGTACCTGCATAAAAATGAAACTGATCTCATCCTTTACCTAATTTAGTGTTAAGTGTTTTCGTTAAATGTCTTTTATCTGCAGTGTCTTTATAGTCAAAACAATGAAAGTAATCCTTAGATTATGTAAGGGTTTATTGCAGATAGCTAGGAATGTGTGGGATGTTTGTATCACACTTCCCTTTTTATTACTGAGCTGCAAACTGTAGAGTTCCACAGCTCTGGATGCTTTATGAGCGATCACTGGGTCCCTTCTCAAAGAGCAGTGTCACTTATTCAGCCTTCTAGATGTGGAGACAGGTCAGACAGCCATATGATCTGAAAGCATTTTCCACTTGGTGTCGCCCCTGCTTTACCATTTAATTCACCGTTTCTGTCTATAAACACAAACACAAATCTTTTAGTTGTCTGTGTTTTCCTTGTGGATATTAACTGTTTCCCCAGTGGGATACATAAAAGTTGATGTCTTCTCCATGTTTTTTTGAAAAGCAAAACCTACTCTGTTCCTATCCAATCTCTTTGTATTTCTTCTTTGGGATTTGGGATTCTGTCCTGGATACGTGGCCTGCACACATAGTTAAAACATTTTCATACAAACTCTCACTGGCTCTGTCATGTTGGTCTGAATCTTTCAGCATTCGCTGTAAAAATGGAATGAACCATCTGAGAGACAGGGTCCCCCACATGGCGGATGGACTGTGCCAGTATGCGCACCAGTTCAACAACAAGGTCCTCATCTGTAAGGTAAGACGGGATCCTCTCAGCCAGTTTAGGTCAACATTCATTCTTCCTCATTTCTCTCTTTTTCCAATTACTCTTCACATGCTGTCTTTTGTGTATTTCTTACGTATTACTTTCTGCATCCTGCATCTCCAGAGGTGCTATGAAGGAGGCAGAGAGGTGATCGTTGTACCTAAAACATCCGCCTCCACCGACAACCCATGGTTTGGACTGGCCAAGTACGCCTGGTCAGGGTAGGTAAATACACACCGTGACACTCCTTCATCGCCTTCCAGCCAATTATCTCACATTCACTCTCACCTTGTTCCTCTCTCTTCCTCTCTTTCTCTTGCTCTTGGACAGGTATGTGTTGGAGTGTGGTAGCTGTGGTGTAATCTACCGCAGCAGACAGTACTGGATGGGAAACCAGGACCCTGAGAGCGGCGTGGTGCGATCTGAGGTCAAACACGTCTGGGAGGGAGTGAGTACTCCAGCCTTCCTCTGTTCTTTATCCCTTAGAGCTGTTTACATACATATAGACCTTTTAAAAAAAATCGATATCTCCTATGAATTTTAAGACCTACATTCAGGATTTTCACACAAGATTTAGTCGAACAAAAACACTGAGATTACTGTTGGATGACATTATGCCCTGTTTCAGGTTGAGCCCAGAGATCAGACACTGTAGTTTAAATGTTAATGTGAAAATGAACATTTCGTTGTCTTTTCCCTCAAGAAAACGTGCACAAGTTGAGAGTTTTGCGAATCGTCATAAGTTACTGGATATTCTTCCTTCTTTTGTCTTTCAGTCGGACACCTTCCTGACCAACCACCAGAACGCTGCCCAGAGGGTCCTGGACGGGATGAACTACATGATTCAGTCGGTGTCCGAGTACGGCACCGGCCCCACCAAAGCTGTGACTGCCTGGCTCACCGATCAGGTGGCACCTCCTTACTGGAGACCCAACGCAGAGATCACTGTGAGTATGAAGAACTTCAGCCGAGATTCACAACAAACACAGCAGGAGAAACTGGCAAATAGACATTTTACAAAAATGTGATGCTTTGTAGACAACAACAGTGATGTCATGCCTGTTAGTCGCTGTATCCTCCTATATGATGGTTAATCGATCAGTTGTTAATATTTTAATGATTAAGAATATATTAACTGTGGTGGTAGAAGTTGAAGGATGTACAGTTTGATTGTCAGAAAAATGTATTCTAG